GTTATCTTCATTTATATAGTATGTAGATAGAAAGAAAGAAAGAAAGAAACAAACAAATAATGGATACAGATAGATAGATAGATAGATAGATAGATAGATAGATAGATAGATAGATAGATAGATAGATAGATAGATAGATATTTATGTATGTTTGGGGGTTTACATTTATTCACTAAAATATACATACACACACACACACACACACACACACACACACACACACACACACACACACACATATATATATATATTCTTTTTAATCAATTCACCCCAAGCAAGACGATAATGCCACTAAGATGCAAATGGCTACTTGGAGTGAACGAAAATGAAGAAAAAAAATATTAGAAAGAACTGGAAACCCAATCTTAAACAGGACACAAAAGCTAAACCTCTACTTCTGTTCAAAAGACCGGAGAGGACTGCAAACCGGGCGATAAGCGAACTTATCTGCTCTTATTATAAATATGTTTCTCTCATATAACATATACGTGCAGACAGCCAGACAGGCAGGCAAACAGAAAGACAAGCACACAGATAGATATGTGTATATGTCCTTTGTCGTTTTTTTTTTTTTTTTGTGGTGGGTATGTAATATACTTAATTAATTAAACATGAATGATGTAACAGGTTTTGATGATCTGGTACAAAAGTAAAACAAAATAGTTAATTTTTTTTCATAAATCGATAGTTGTTCATAACACGAAAAAACAAAAACTTCCTACATCTTTATTTTCCGCTCTGAAAGGATTTCAATATTTCATTCCAGATGCATGGTGGGATAGTGACGCTCGATAGCACAGTGACTACGGAAAAATGATAAACTTCTAATTCATGTATATCATATGGTTTTGTGTACGAACTAGCAGGCTTGTTATTTGTTAACATATGTCCAACATCAGGTTCGAAACCAGAACGCCGAACTGTAGCTTCACTAATTAATTACCACTAACATACAATTTTCATGTATCTATTAATTAATTTAAATTCCATGCGTGATACACGCTTAGGCGATCATGTATCTTTCAATACATGACTGACGAGGCAGATTTTTCCCGCAGCAGATTTCTTTCTGCTGGATACCAGTTGCCATCCAAGGCTATAGAACCCGTTCTGTCCTGCTATTTAACTATAGCTATGGGAGCGGGGAGAAGAAGAGGATTCATAACTTTCCCAAGGGTATTAGCACGTAAGTGAATTTAATGGATTCGGCTAGAATTCGAACTCGGCTTCCCGATTCATTTACTCCACCGTGTATCTATAGTGATCAAGTAATGCCACTAGCAATGGTTGTTTCTCTCAGTCGTGGTCATAGAAAGTTAATAATTAACACATGTTTAAAACAAATCTGAGCCAAAATAAAACCGGCTACAACAAAGGAAAAAAAGGTCATTATTTCTCTTTGAAGTGTGTCTGGTAATGTACCTTTCCTATTTAATGCTCCGTGGCCAGCCGTTCGAGTAAAATAACGTATTGCTTGTGTCTTTCATCCTAAATCTATCCTCATAACCAACTTAATTTTTTATAGATATTCCTATAATAAAACATTACAGCGATTTGTCTAGGAACTAATGTACTGTAGCTTAAGTACTGCTAAAATTGATGCTAAATAATTAACTGACGAAAGTAAGCTGAACCTACTAAAATGCTTCAGCTGGGAGGTAAGCAATGAGAATCGAACTCACTGAAACACTGGCAAACAGGGCCGGTGCGTACTACCCCTGAACGTTAAGCTTGATTTGAGGCTCGGCAGATCTTTGTGACTCGCGCTATCTTATCAACACTTGATTTTTTTCTACATACATTTATATACGTTAAAAATTAAACAAACCGGAACTGAATATCAAAGGGTGAAAATTTTTCGTGGCTTTTGGCGCCATTCTGTTATTTTTTTTTTTATTTTTTTTTTTTTTATTTATTTGGTACAAACCTGTGAATTTGTTTCGCGCATGTTAAATCTCAAAAAACATTTAAAATTCGCTATTTGTTATCCATAATGTTGAATGTGTTAAAATTCTTCAACTTTTTAAAAAGAAAGATCTCAAGTTAATGTTAAAAATTGCTACAAAAAAACTTGTTGATTTAATTATGAATAGTCTCTATTTATAACATGTCTCTAATTTGTATTTAGATACCTTTTATTTATTTTCAATTTTTCTAGTTGAATTGTTCACTTATATTGAATATGATCCATTATTGTACATAATTAGGTTACAATAAAATTAGTATTTTATATGCAAATTGAGATGGAATAGAATGGAGGGGGGGCGTATCGTATCATAGATTCGGGGCTGGGCATAGATTGCTGTTAAATGGCAATGTTATGCGAAATTAATTTAAAAACTTTCATTCCACAGTAGGAACTTTTGATGTTAGACGTAAATAGGTACAGTGTAACCCGGATATAAGAGACACTGATATAAGAGAAACCCGGATATAAGAGAGATTTTCTCTAGTCCCAAAGTGTTCCCATACATACCTAAACAAAATAGACCAAACCCGGATATAAGAGAAACCCGGATATAAGAGACTTCTTCTCCGGTCCCGACAACTCTCTTATATCCGGGTTACACTGTACATTCAAAAACTAAGCAGAATGTGGACAGTGCGATGTATTTAGGTTTTTCCTATCTCTGGCACAGTGCAACAAACATGGGTAACCCAGTGAGGATCGAACACCTTACAGAGGTCCGTCAACTGGTTCACACCACTTGCCCGTCTTTTGAACAGCAGTGTAGATTTTTTTTTTTTCCTGTTTAGGATTGGTTTTCCGGTTTCTTACCTAAATTCTCTTCATTATCTTTCACATCCAGTAGCCCCTTGCATCTTAGTGACATTATCGCCTTGCCTGGGGTGAAATAATTAAAAACAAAACAAAAAAAAATAACCTTAGACGCCATTACTATATTCTTATTAATGCCAGTTATAAAACAATTACGTGATTAGACCACAGTATTGTGAGAACATATTTTAACATAGAATTTAAAATAGGACAAGATTAAGGTGATGGCATTTCTTGGCCGACAGTGGTTTCCAACCTTTTTTTGACTATGCACCACCGAAGCATCTTTAAAATCTTAATGCCCCCCCATCACCACCACCACCCGCCCGTGATATATAATTATATTAATCAAAAATAATAAACTCCTATTCATGTGTAGAAGTATCATTGAATTAAGAACTTAAGACTGCATATGTGAAGTATCATTATCATTTAATTTTAGAATTTGAAAATATTTATAAAAAAAATATTATATATATATATATATATATATATATATATATATATATATATATATATATATATATATATATATATATATATATATATATATATATATATATATATATATATTAACTGGTTTAAAATATGGTTATAATATGTATGTTCTTTAAATTTACATTGAGTACTGTTTTGTAAAAAAAAAAAAATATCAATAAGAACACCGGATTATATATATTATTGTTCTTTCATTATACACACACACACACATATATATATATATATAAAGGGTGTTCCAATATCTTGGACCGATTTTAAACTTAATTCACTTTTAAAATCGGTTGAAGTTATTGGAATAGACTTTATATATATATATATATATATATATAATAAGAATAATAAATCATTCTCGAATTGCACCCTTAAAATGAAATCCCCTATGTAGGGTGTGCGCCCCACTTTGGAAACCACGGGATAAGCCAACTTTGAAGCAAAGTCGTAATCATTTAATGATATTAAGGAATAAACACATTATTATTACTTTGTTTGGAGTTCATATTAACTATAATCCCATATTGAGTACGATTACAAAAATGACATATTTGCAACCGGTGTCAGTAGTTCGAACCCAAGCAAAATCCAGGATCTGGAAATTATTTTCATGTTAGGGAGCCCCTTCATTTTGGCATAATACATTCATTCCATTTTCATCCACACTTTATTTGTCTTGCTAAGCAAATTGTGGCATTATTTCTGCATAGAATGATATGGTATTTTTTCAGCTTTACTAAGTTTCTCTTAGTTTAACACAAGCCTAAACATCCGAGACACCCGGTGAGAATTTCTTCCCATCGGATGTCTCAATATAGTAGTCATGATTTTCTAAACGAAATTAGTATTCATCACTTCACGCTTAGGTATCTTTTTAAGGACAAATTATAATAGTGTTGAAAGCAATGATATATCTTCAACAAAGTCACCTTTGACATAAGATCTTTTTCCTCTATGTGCTGTGTTACTTCGGGACATGAGCAATCATGGGTCTCCACAACATCCTGTCCTTTGTTGCTCTATGAACCACTGCCCTATGGCAAGTACACCCTCCCTCAACACACAAACACCAGATAGTAGTAATAGTAGTAATAGCGATTATTGTAATAGTTTGGACACGACAAATAATGTTTATGATAGTGATTATTATTAATATTATTAATACTACTACAAGTAGTAGTAGTAGTAATTGGTCATACAAATAAATACAAGTGGTGGTATCGTAATATCTAATACCGTGTAGAATGGCCAATGGCCGAACAGCAGAGCGCCATCTGGCGCCTGCAATAGTGTATTTAATAATTGCTGAAGTATCAAAACCTATACAGTGGTCGACGTGGATGAAAAGTCTGCGACTGTCTGCAAGGATGTGCCGATATGTAAAGGGAGATTTTGTCCCAGTGTTTCCACAATCACTCCTCCCTTGACATTTCTCTTCATCTAATTCCCCACCACCGTTTTTTCTCTCTCTCTCACACTCTCTCTCTCTCTCACACTCTCTCTCTCTCTCTCTCTCTCTATTTTTTTTTTCTTTTTTTACTTTTTACAGCTTTTCCCACTTTCCTCTTATCGGAGTTTTAACAACAAAATATTTCTTTTCTATTTCATTTTTATCTATTTCTCGATTCATTCTTTAACTCCTGTCTTTATTTTATTTCTGTCCTCTTTCAATTTCTTCTTTTGTTTCTACCAAATTATCAATCTCTGTCAGTCAGTTACTTTTCACCCTCTCTATGATTATCTCGCGCCAAACACTATCGCTAATCTGTCTCTTTAGTTATCAGTCTCTCGTTCGCTCCGTCACTGTCTGTCTGTCTGTCTCTGCCTCTCTCTCTCTCTCTCTCTCTATATATATATATATATATATATATATATATATATATCACATTTAAATTTTTTATTTATATAAATATAAATTGATATATTTATATACACACATATATAAATGTGTGTATATATATATATATATATATATATATATATAATGTGTATATATATATATATATATATATATATTAAAATAATGAGAAAGAACAGTAAGATTTATAATCCGGTATTCCTATTAATGGTTTTTATTTTTGAACAACTGTGCTCCACACAATTTTGCAGTGCATAAAATTTATATATATATATATATATGTGTGTGTGTGTGTGTGTGTGTGTGTGTGTGTGTGTGTGTGTGTGTGTGAAAAGTGTGTGAAACCCAGGTCACAAACTCACATCAATCCAATATATATATATATATATATATATATATATATATATATATATATATATATATATATATAAATTTAGATATTTATTTATATTGATATTATATATTTATAATTTATATAAAGTTATATATTTATAAATATAAATATATATATTTATATTAGATTTGATAAATTATATAACTTTGTTTAATGACCAAAGGATTTTTAAAAGAAATTTTGGGGTTTATTTAACAGACATGCACACATATTTACATACACACATGTGTGCATGATAAAATATAGTTTATGGCATGTTTTATTTATGAGGTTAAAGTTCTCAATATCCGAGATATATGTAAATATGATATCTTAATGAAACAGGCTATAGCTATGGGGTGTTGATCTCTCTGTCCATACTGCTAATATATATATATATATATATAAACAGAAATAAAATTAAATTGAATATATATAAAAGAAGAGTGTATCTATCTATCTATCTATCTATCTATCTATCTATCTATATATATATATATATATATATATATATATATATATATATGTATGTATATATTCCATATAATTTTGGCTCTGCTTATATCTTTCTATGTGTGTATAGGAGCTTGTTGAGTCTGACAGATAAAAAAACAATAAAAAAATGACAATTCTAAAAATATATAAATTAAGACAGATCTATCTATCCATATATCTATCAACTATTTATATATATATGTCTATCTGCTTTCTATATATATATATATATATATATATATATATATATATATATATATATATATATATATATATTGCCTATTTATATCTATCTATATATCAGCATATAAATCTGTCTGTTCCCCTTTGTCCTCTCTCTCTCTCTCTGTCTATCTATCTATCTATGTCTATTTATATCTATTACGCATATATACAAAAATGAATTCATATTTCTATCTCACTTTTCTGTGTGTGCGTGTGTGTGCTTGTGCGTGTGTATATGTGCTGTAGATTTTTTTAAAAGCAGAACAATTTCAGGTATTTGTTGCTACAGAGTTTACCACTTGATGGCTCATTATATTCGTGAT